GTGACAGTGTTGGAAAATTAATTGATATGTAGTTTTAATGGAAAAAAAACTCCATTACTGGATAAGGCCCAAGAGGCTGAATCAGGTCTGGCCAATAATTTATGAGGATTAAGCTTTGCAATTTCTTGATAGACATGAGTAGGAAGAAGAGACTTAAGTTTAAACCAATCTCAATTGCCCTTATTAGAGAAAAGAGCCACAGGAATTGGATACAAGGAAAGGGATTGCAAATTAGGAAAAGAAGGAATCAAATGGTCAACCCAAAATCTAACTTGGCAACCATCTCCTAACTCCTAGTTGAGACCTTTCAAAAACAGAGGCCAAGTTGAAGCTATGCCATTCCAGAGATGTAAAGCCCAAAGATGTGAAGTCCTGCTATTTTCCCTGGGAGGCAAATGTTGGCCTACAGAAAACTTGTATTTTTTACATAAGACTTGAGTCCAGAGGTCATTAGGGGATGAGTAAAGTCTCCAGGAAAGTTTCATTATGTAAGCTTTGTTAAGCATATTGAGATTCCTAAAACCTAATCCTCCCTCATTCTTAGGTTTACATAATTTGTCCCAACCAATCAAATGACATTTTCTAGTATCCAAGGATCCCCAAATAAATTTCTTGCACAGGCTGTTAATCTCATTACACACAGCTACTGGAAGGAGGGCAATTTGCATTAAATAAGAAGGTATACTTAAGAGGCAAGATTGGGCTAAAGTCACCCTACTTGTCAAGGAGAGGGTTTTCATCTTCCATAGGGAAAGTTTTTTCCTAGTTTTATCAATTAAAAAGGAAAAATAAATTATGATGAGTGATGGGAATACCAAGATATCTACCAATCTGACTAAAAGGTTTAATACCCAGAAGCCCACTAATATTCTGCCTAAGAGTCAGGTCAGTATTTTTGGAGAAAAACAAAGACGGTTTATCAGTGTTAACTTTCAAACCTAAAGCTTGACAGAAAGAATTCAAAGTGTCTTGAATAATTGAGGCTTGATGCAAGTCAACCTTACCAATCAGAATGATGACGTCTGCAAAAAGAAGGTGAGATATATGCAGATCATGAGATCCAAAGGAAAGTGAGACCCACTCTTTATTGTGGATACTATCTTGGATAAGATGAGTAAGTCTTTCAATACATAGAACAAATAAATAAAGAGATATAAGGTACCCTTGACGAATACCTTTAGCAGGCTGGAAGGTTTTAGTAGTACTATTATTCCAATTAATAGCCATTGAAGAAGAAGTGATACAAGCTTGAATGAGATTAATAATAACAATATGAAAGTCTATCTTTCTTAAGGTACTTATGATAAAATTCCATCTAAGCTTATCATGAGCTTTTTCTAAATCCAGTTTTAATATCATAAACCCACTTCTACCCCTAAGCTTATGGAAAGAGTGAACAATTTCCCAAAGAATTAAGAAGTTATCAGTCCCTTGTCTATCAGGGATGAAACTGCATTGGTTGACAAAAATCAAGTGAGACAGGGAGCCTCTTAGTTTATTAGCCAGAATTTTGGTAACTATCTAAGTAGAAAATACTCATTATTCAAATCTAAAATTTTAAGGGGACCATTTCGCCCCCAAAGGCTGCATAATTTCTTATTTAGATAATTGAAGCTTACTAATTTTCCTAGCAATTAAACAAACTATCAAGGAGTATTTTCAGGGAGAACACCATTGTTCTTAGTCTTCTAAGGGAACTCTTAGATTAGGATATAGATTTTGGTCAGTTTTAGGGCTACCTTGTTCATCAGTTTTAGGACTAATATTTAGCTCTTCTAAGACAGTATTAACAATATCATCATTCCTTAGCTTCATTTCTAGGTCTTTAACTGAAAACACTTTATCTTTATAGGAAACTTTAGTAAAAAAAACTAGGGTTTGAAAGCACCTGATCTTCCATAGCTTCCTTCTTACTTTCTATTTGCATGTTTACTTCCAGAGACTCTGCATAATTTGGTAGCACTAGTTTAACTTTTTTTATGCTTATGTCCATTAAGTCAACCTCCTTCATAGAATGTTTCTCTACTTTTTGGTGAGCCACCCATGCCTCCCTTGAACACGACTAGGTTTCAAGATGAAACCTTTCCCAACAAAACCCACTTCTTCAAGATCGACGGCACTGAGATGGAGAGTAAAAGGAGCCAGGGTTTGTGGAAGACCTTAGCCGAATCGATGCTTCAAAATTTCAAAGGGACTTGCAATGATTAGAATCCCTTAGGCCAGGAAGGTTGAGGGTTGAAAACCCTAGCAGAGCTTCTCGTGGCGTTCCTTCTCCAAGAAACTATCTTTCGAAACCCTCACGAGTACCAAAACATCAGTTAACCTATTGTAAAACATAAAAAAATTTATATAGTTATAATTTATTTATTTTTATTTTTAATTGTTTATATTTAGTCTATCTAATTTTTAAAGATTTAAATTAAGTTATTCACCTTAAAATTAATTATTTTATTATATTTTATATTTATATTTATATTTAAATATTGTGTATATATTTTCTTTACTTATGTGTATAAATCAATAAAATGGCATACCTTCATTATATTTTAAGTAATTATTAAATAAAATTTTGAAGTGAATAAATTAATTCAAATATTCTAAAAATTAACTATAATGACTAAAGGTAATCAATTAAAACTATGAAAATTCACATATGCTGTAAAATATAAGGAAAAAAAATGAAATTAAACATGTAATTTATATCTTCAAAAACCTAAAAACCAACATCTAAAAAATATTTTGGAAAACCATGATACCTTGTAAGAATTTAAAGAACCGTAGCATGACAGAAAATTCCTTAAAATGACTATTTGGTTAGTATTAATTTTAAGCATTTAAAATAAAAATAATTTATTATATAAAATATAATAAAAATTATTATTTATATATAATTAAAACCAAACCTTAAACTGATATTAACATTATCCTAAAAATAATAAAAGAATAGAGAATTCTTTACTTTTTTGTTATTAATGACAAGAAATTTGATTTAAATACATGTATCATAACATTTCCACCAACAAATAATTGAAGTCATATAAATTTTTTTTTCCTTAAGTAGTGTCTAATTTTATGTTTTGTATATAAAAATATAAATAATTCAAAAGTTAATTTTAAATAAGATTGTCCCGTAAAAAAATGTATCTTAATATCTATACTGAAAATGGGCAAAATCATAACGTGTAGGACCATATGGGCGGGCCTTTATCATTTTATATTTGGTACAAAAGAAGGGACGATGCTTTCAATATCACATGCTTCTAAATTTGTGCAAATCTGCAGACCAAACTTTAGCCCACGAGAAAAGTTTTCTAATGGGCTAAGGCATAGGGAGCGACAGAGAGTCTTTTATACAAAATTTGACAAAAAAGAAGAACAATACTAAGTAAGCAGCAAGCACTTGGGAAATATAAAAGTTAAACACTCAGTGCTTTTGTTTGTTTTTGACCGTTTATTTCTTAAAAAAATATTTTTGATGACATTTTATAAGTTAAAAAAAACTATTTCAAGGTTAATTAATTGTAACATGCTTTTTTTTTTTTTTGTCAAAGTTAATTAGATTAAGGAGCGAAGGCAGTTTAGTGGCACTAATATTAGATAAACATGCTCATAACAAAATATAGCATGATTACTCAAAACACATGAACCAAGCAAACATTAATTTTGGACAAACACCAAAGCAAAGCAAGCAAACCCATATTCTCCATCACTTGCTAACCTTGGCATTAAAAAAAGCTACATAGCACAAAATGTTTCCCAATTTTTCCTCTTTCGTCGTTGCTTCTTCTTGTTGTTGCTTTATCTTAGCTTAGCCAGCTCTATCAGCGTTGTAAACAGTTTAAGATTAACGAGGAAGGCCAAAACATCACAGGAGTTTATTCAATTGCGGCAGTTGATTAGTTGGAGAACTAATGTTGGTGGGATCTTGGGAAGCAGGAAGAGAAAGAGCTAATGGGGTTAAAGGAAAATACAAAGTGAACAGAAATGGAAGAGAAGAAAGAAAAGGGGAAAAAATCCATTAAAGAGAGAAGAGAACCTAGTTACCTATAATGGTAGGAAGCCTTCCCCCATGGAGAAGAGACCCCCTTGAAGGGATGGTTGACAATGTTGTTAGGGTTCTGATTTTTCTAAAATGTAAGAGTGTTTCTATTTTTTTTCCCTCTTAATTTTAACATGCATTTTAAAGGTATATATTTTACCAACACAAAAACTTCGCAAGCAAAAATAAACACTTGTTTTTTTTTTTTTTTCCAGTTGAGTTAGTGATGAGAAGAATATTAATAGAATGTCCTGGTTAAAAGAATGGATCTTACTAATTAGTATATATAGAGTACTAATTAAAAAATATTTTGAAATGCTTTAAGATTTACAACAGAGATATACTATTAATATTTTTTTTAGTTATTGATTCATTCACTAGTAGCAAAATAATATTAATTAACATTCCCCTTAATGAATTGATAAGCTAGCTACTGGATCGTTCAATAAATGAAGGTAGAGAGATAAACCAAGAAAAATAGTAATTTAAATTATTAAAAACAATCTGAAACTAATGATTTATGTGAAAATTTGGCCTTCAATGTATAAAACACAATAGCGTCATAATTTAATTTATGCATATTTGACCGCAATAGAATGACTTTTGATTGTCGATGTACAAGAGTGAAACGATGGTGAAGTAATTTATCTGATTATATATATTTTGTGAAGAATGTGTTGCACTTTAACTGACAAATAACAAAGCTGGGGTATGAAAGCAAAAGCCTAAAAGGTTAAAAGGAAAGATGGCAGGGAGAGAGAGGAAGAAGAAGTGCAGTTTGAAAAACTCATTGAATCACGTTAAATTTCATTTTAATTCAAAGTTATAACTTGTAATTAAGTGAATTTGACATGAAGCCAAATACACTACAAGAAGAGGAGTAACTCGAGAATTTGAGTTAACGAGAAAAATAATTTCCATTTGTTTGAAGCTAAACATGCAAGTGTAAGGCTCTCTCGGGTACAGATATGATGAGAAGGATGTTATGATAGTCTGGCATAAAACTTGACCCACCTGTCCAAAATCAGCATTCCAAAATGGGTCCTATTTAGCCTAACTATAACCCATGGTCCATGGCCTGAAAGAGGCATTCTAATTTTCTTTTAATGTTATATACCTTGCACCGAAAATGACATCAAAGACAGTGCCTGAAATTCTTTGGACTGAAGCATATGTTTTGTAGCAAAGCCTTTATCCCATTCCTCATCTCTCTTCCCAGACACTACTAAGAAATATATATATATATCATTCACATGGAATAATATATGTATATATATTCCTCTTTCCCCTCCACCTATCAAGTACGGTATTTTAGTGACAAGGAAAGGGGTGATGCTTATTTAATTTTAACACTTGAGAAGAGTTAACTCTCTTGATGATTCGGCGTGTTCTGTTTGCCAACTGGATCTTCCAAGGGTGAATTCAAGGTCAAGAATCGCCTCGGAACGTGACAAAGGGGTAGAATCCAAACTCTCCTTCATGCAATTTGACAGGCCTCCATAATTATGCTCATCCACCTGTTTCAAATTTATTATATATTTGTCAGTGACATAAGCCATTTAGAAATAAGTATATATTTATTTATGCCTAGTTATATGGTATAGTATATGCAACAAAACTACAAGCCACATGCTAGATCCAGTTATGTCCGTCCCAACTCACCATCGTTTCATTTCCCTTTAGCTGAGAATAGGTCAATCCGATTTCCGGTTCTTGTCTACAATTGTTTGTATTTGTCCCTATTGATGATTGCCATGTCCTGAGTGTGTAAAGTGAGAGAATGATTAATATATTACATGGTAAACATGTTTTAAAGCAACTAATGAAGTTGTTCATTAGCCCGTTTTAACACTCAATCATTTTGTTGACCAAAACTCGAAATTCAAAACCCAAAATCCAATCCAAATGCATGCAATTCAAAATGGCATCGCCAACAGTTTATGATTGGCTTTGCAGGGTACGATGGCATATGTAATACATATTAACGGTCAACATCGAAATGTTTCAAATTTTCCTGGAACTCGATCGGAGTGAGATGTAGAAACTAGAGTGTTTTTATGAAGGGGCCAGAAACGGAAAGAGATAAAATTTATACATTCAATCCTCATTATGAGAAGGAGCTAATGTTGTTGGTAAGTGGATGTACATGAATTTCTCTATTTTTCTAGGATACCTTAAAAAAGACATTCCTTCTTCATTATTATATCATTATTTTTTATTATAGTAAAAAATTAGGAGACTGCTTAGCAGCTTACAATCAATTGAGGATTTTAAAACTGCATTTTTACTGTGTGTTTTACATAATTAAAATTTATACATAATATTTTTTATTAAAAATTATAAAACATCACGAAATTTAATATATTAAAAATATTAAATACTGTATTTTTTAATATATATATATATATATATAATTTATTAATTTTTTTCATTTAACCACGTATTAAAAAAAATTAAATGTAATATGGGTAACACGTTGAGATTTGAACCAAATGTCAGACTTTTTGCTACATATTGGGATCATTACATTGACGATTAAAAGATGAGTAATCCGAAAGCATCATTGAAAGAGTCCACGTAAAAAATTACCATACCCAGTTACCCACATACCTATAAAAACCCTAGGCTTTACTCATCAAAATCTATGTAATGTTAGACTTCTCGTTATAGAACCCCGCAATATAAAAGATAAGCAAGAAAGCTAAAAACAAACAGGAAAAATAAGGATTTTTCATTGTACAATGTCTACGAGTATACAGTGTAAAAATATTAAATACATCATAAATAAATATTTTTAATTGCATAAAAATAAAAAATCTTATATTTACTATATAATAAATATATTTGTAATATTAATTTCCCTTTTTTAACTTCTTATTATGTATCTGGAAACACCACATATGATTCCTTAAAATTAACTAGTATTTGCAAGTTTTTCTTTTTTCAAAAGAAAAAAAAGCCTGAGCACGAGGCATTCATGAATATTCGTGCATGTACATTAGCATAGCTTTTAATGGCTCTGTATATAGGTCATTGAATCATGATCCGTCAATAACTTACTATTACGTTCACATTGATTTGCAGAGAGAAAACAGCATCGCAGTGTGAGTGAAACTGAAAATAAAAGAGAGCTATAATAGGTAGGTTGAGGAATACAAATATGAACAATCTAATCACCTGTGCGATTTTTGAAGCGGGTCAAGTAAATTGGGTCTCTCACAAGTAGCTGTGGCTGCATGCACATGAACAATCCCTGGCCTTCGGCTCAAGCCTATATCTGTCTGCCCATGACCTGCAATTTTCATGAAACAATAGAGCCATTGCTCTTCCTTTATCAGACACTAGAGCTTAATAGTTCACTTGAGGACTTTGAACTCGGTCCTATGCCAAACAACTTTTGTTTTTAACGGGGAACAGTACTAGATGCAAATCATAGAGTTTCTGTCACACTCGAATCACCAAAGATCTCAAACAAAGAGAATAATAATAATAATAATAGAAGAAATGTGAAAAATGGGTCCTTGAGAAGGAACATCCATATTGAATTACCTGTGCCTTTGTCAGTGCTCTTCACTGTTCTATACATCTGCATGAACACCCCACATAAAATAAAATGAGAAGAAAAGTCTACAAGGCTAAGATTGCATACCTAGATACCCCCTTTGTCCTTAGTCCTTGGTTCTACCCTCCCCACTACTAGAGCCAACCTATAACGACTAACAATAGTTGCTTTTTCCTTTCTTTCTTACTTTTGTCTGTCTAGTCAGAAATTCAAAGGGGAAGAAACGAAACTTCACTCATTAAGCTCAAAGACTAAGGAGAATAATGGAGATATGGAAATAGTAACTACCCCACCTGCAAGTGACTCTTGACGTGTGCTAGGGTTAGATCTTTAACATTCATTAACTCCAACACAGACTTCGGAGTTGCTCCTGCAAGTGTGACAAGACAAATCCAAGATTAGACGTAACCTTGTTGTCATGGTTTCCATCAGAAATCTCAAGAGCATCGATCAGCTTTTACATTGAACACTGAAGAAACGATCAACCTACTCAAAGCATGTAATTAGACCATGCTCAGGAGAGCTGAACTTTTTCAAAAAACTAATGAATTATTTTCACAAGTTCTTTCAAGAAATTATATATGAAAAAACCGATTATTTCTTTACAGTAAACCAAGTTTGATATGCAATTGGAAAATGTCTATGAATTTACTTTCATGGCCTCCAAGAAGCTGAACCGCATGAACAAAATGGGCATGGAGGGTCGTGGTCCATCTCATCCTAGGAGCCCTGACGCTTCTTTTGACACCATTAACAACCCTTGCACTTCGTTTGAAATCGCGGCCATAGATGTGAGGTTGGAGGTGGTGGTGGTGGTGATTGAAGTTTCTCGGGACTCCTTGTACTTGGTGATGATGATGATGATGTGGATTCAAATCTGGCATGTTTCCAACGCCTAATCTCAATGTGGGCTCACGATGAACAAGGTTATGGACAGTGTCCGTGTGGAACAACCCATTTTCATGGCTTAAATCACTTCCACTACTTCCTGAATCAGAGGTTGAACACATATCATTGTAAAGCACTTTGCTAAAGCCTCCCACTTCTTTGGCTTCAGAATCCGAAATAGAAGGTGGGCTAATGTTTAAGGAGAGGTCTGGCTCCGACAAAGGTGATAAGTTTCCCATTACTTTGTGGTGCGAATTAGTAAACATGAGAATAGCAGAGAGAACTAGAGATCTAGCTAGCTAGGTTTGCCACAAACCGGTGGTAAATATACAAAGGAAAGGGAAGAGAAAGGATGAAGGGAAAAAAAACCAAAAATAAAAAAAAGTTTAGAGAAGCAAATATAGTAAGAAATAGAAGTGAGGTATATGGATTGATGAGGAGAATGGATGAAAGAGGTGAAAAGGAAGGGTTTAAAACTGTGATTATATCATGAGTGACTTATGATTTGCATTGGTTGTGGTGTAGCTAGCTAGGCTTTTAGTAGGATCCCCCACTAGGGTTGAAGGAAAATTTTAAAGCCGAGAGAGTAATTAATTTTCCAGAGACTACTTGTCACTAGTCAGATTAAAAAATGAAAGAGAAAGGGAAAAAAATCAGAGTTTTTTGGGGATGGTGGTTTGAACAAAAAGTTAGTGAAAAAGGGTACTAGTTATTTATGGAAGCTGAGAGAGCTTAGATTAGTCACCAAAGTACTATGGAGAGAGAGAGAGAGAGAGAGCAGGCCTGGGGCCTGAGGTCAGTTTTCCCTTATCTACAGGTAATTAAAATTAAAAAGAAAAGGGAAAAAAAGAGAGGTAGCAGGGATATAATGGTGGTTGCTGGCAGGAATATGGTTGGATTTGGAGAAAAACAAAATGGGTACTATTCAATGGAATATTGGAATGGGAATTGAGTCTCTAGTTTACGTTGATGGATCGTGACCCGTTAAAATTCTCTGCTCTTTTTGTTTGTATCAGGGTTTAATTTATCTCTTTTTAATGCATTTCTTGAATTGGAATATTCCCGTTTTATTATGAACGAGGATTGACTGGCAGAGCAAAATATCCTGTTTCTAAACTCACCCTGACCCCTCATAGCTCTGTTACATGCAGATGTGGCATTGAACCTCATCGCCTTTTCTTTTAACTCTTAGCCATGGGATACCCTCCATCCATGTTCCCTTCACACCCTGGACCATTCCCAGTTATAGTCACACTCACTGTTTCACATTTTCTTAGGACACGTTCCATTTAATATCATTTCACGGGATAAAACTCTTCAACTCTGCATGGGAAACTGCCAACTCTCTCTTGTCTGTGTTAAATGGTAATCAAAATAAGTTCTTAGATGTTCAATTTTAAGACTTTAATCCATTTTACATTTTTTTCGCTTCCAAACGGGTTACTCTTGTATTTTAAGATTCGAAAATAAAATGTGAGTTGTTTTTGTTTTTACTCGATCTAATGTCACGTATAATATTAACTTTTAATTGTTCAAATTGCAAGAAAAATTAAACTTCTTACCAGGTGTTATGCATTAAGTTCGCGTAAAAAAGTTAAACAAACATTTGAAATTCATTATGTCCTAGTCAAACCCTAACTCAAACTAAAGCCAGATCTAGGATTCTGATAATTATCATTTTGTTTGAAAAGAATACTTTAGTACTTTGTTAATTAAATCAGAAGTTTATGTTTTTCTACAAAACGTATCACTATCTTTTGTAGGAAAGACCAAATATACTCGTACTATGTACATGTAAGTAAAATATAATTTCAAGTCATTGCTAGTAAGCATGAATGATATGTAGTGGCCAATAGGGTCTTGAACTAAATAAATTGTTGCATGTGGGAAAATGAAAAAAGAAAAATTAAGGAAAGGAATTAATTAACATGAGTATAGATATAAAAGCCAGCAACTATTAATGTCAAACATTAAACTTAAATACTTATATTACTTAATAGCTTTTCATAAAATACAATATTAACTAATTAATCCTATTAAATAAATTAATTTTATACAAAAACAAATATACAAGTTTAACACACTATATGTAAATATATTTTTGCATATATATATATATATATATATATAGGTGAGAGTGGGTGTGATGTCCGGCGACACGAGGTCGCAGAGCCACATGCAGATGCAAATTTCTCACCCCACTCTCGTCAGTTCTTCAACTATTGTCATATCTCGTGGCGCATTACTTAACGCGCTTCCTTTTTTAGACAGCGATGACCACAGTATAGTTTATATATGATTTTTCACAATCATCATCTTCACTATATGTGTAACTATTTAACTAGATTATTAGAATTCTAAATATGATAAGCTTCGTTTAATTAATTCAAAAGTTGGAAAGAGAATTTACCCGAATCATTACAAGAGATGCTTATTTAACCCATGTTTGAGATCGTAATTACATCTCTCGAGAATGGAGGTTTGTGGGGAGTTTAATATCATGACTAAGGTCTTAATAGTTTATTAGAAAAAAGTAAAATAATTGACTTAATTCAAGCTCAAAAACTTAACCAACCATTACAAGAAGTGCTTTGTTCGTACAATACATTGATGTAAGATGTTGATATTAAAGTCAAATTTGAAATGTACAGGTAATATAGTATGTTTGTTTTTTGGGTTATGGAAGTAACTTTATAAGGTGCGTTTTTTTCTAAAAATAATACATTGTTGTCTCTTGTTTTTGTACATAATTAATACATTGTTATTTAAAATGTAGAACTCATTCCCATCATTATAAACGGGTATACAAACGCACTAATTCTTATTTGCAGGAGACGAAAGAATAACAGAAGAGGGAAAATTTTAAAATATATATCGTGAAGGAGAAAATGCTCTAATTTTCTCTTTGATTGAATAAAATTTTTTACTTTTTTATTTCTTTCTTTCCATCCAAACATATGATTTCATATCCATATATACGGAACTCGTGGCACAATTAGGGTCAGATTATATATAAAGTTCAAATATACATTATTCTAAATTCCAAACCATAGTAAAATAGTTACTTTTCTTTTAACTAAATCAAACCCCAAATTTATAAACTATAATACAAACATATTACAACAAATATATAATACTTTACAGATAAAAACAAAAAAAAATGAAAGAATTTAACTAAATTTAAGGGTAACGTAGGAACCATTTTATATATAGGAGAAAATGAAAAAATCACTAAAATGTGTTTTAAATTTTTTGGTATTTTAAATTAATATTATTATTTTATAAAAATCAGAACTAGTAATTTTTTATTATCTGTTGAAAAATCATTATTAACGAGTTTTAACTTTTTAAAATTTTATAATTTTTGACCGACATCAAGAATTACAATTGATGATTTTAAAATTGTATATTTTGTAATTTTTAAAAATATATATTTTAATATATATAATTTTCAAATCTCGTATATAAAAAAATAAATTTAATGAGGATAAAATAAAACATCTACAGGAGATTTAATAAACAAAATATTAACCAAGTGTGATTATTTTTATTATACTGTAGCTATTAATTTGTGATTATAATGTAGGAGGTAATGAGTTGTGAAATGCGCGTGGGAAGAAGTGCTGAGTACTGCAAGTAGGAATTGAGTCCATCATCCTGTCCTCTGCTTCCAACGTTAACGTTAACAATTTCAACGCTAGCATTTGTCTAATTATGTAAGCATGTAATATTGCTCTCCAATATTCCCTCTCCGTGTTCAAATATTCCATGTCTTATGTCTAAGACGTTCTTTAAGCAACCCACCTCCCCTGTCGTTTCTCTATTTTCATCAGAATCATAACCGCGCGTGCACTCACGCTCCAATCAAAATCATTAATTTTTTTAAATTAATCAAACGTTTTTTGAAAAAATAAAAAGGGTTTATTGACATTTTAAAAAAAATTAATAATCACATATAAAATATGTTAAAACATGTCTTAAATAAATATATTAGTGGCATTCCTGATAGCATATTCCTCGGCGTCAACATGGCTTCACTCACGTGACTTATGGGCGTGACCTTGTCTAGGCGATAGGCTCTTGCTTTGTTCTCTTCTTTTGGTCTTATATTCTCCTGTTCCTATGACTTTTAAAACATTAATATAACATGGCATTTATGGCCTATTGTATGTTCCAATTATGCTCGCAACCCCATGCTTAATCCTTCTTTTGTTTATTCCTCTTTTTTTCTTTGTTTACTACCTCATTAATGTGACAACAAGATCATACCAATATGTTAATCCATTTGTTAATAGATTCCGAAGCCACGGTCAGCGCCTGATGCGCTCTAGATTCTCCGGGAAATGAAACTTTTGCTTTTGTTTATCTTTTTCTACAATACTACTAATTGTTCACGTTATTAAATTTACACACTGTCTCTCTCTCTCCCTTTGTGTTTTATACCAACTATTCAACAATAAGCTTGTGATCTGAGAATATCCGGTCAACATGTCGTTCTATGGCTCAATTGCGATGTTGTCAAATGCTTTGGCTATATCCAATTAATATTCCATGTGTTTGTCTTATAAGAAACCCTCTTGCTCTTTCTTAATTCTTCACCAATTTGGTATTAATTAATTCATAACAACTATACAATCAACAAATATTTATATATATAACCTGCACCCCTTTATTTCTCAAGGCTGTATCGTCGAACTAATTTTATTTTTCCTTTTTTAATAATCATCTCTTGAACTCAACATGTGTATAATTGAGCAGTAACTATAGTGCATCTCAAGCAAGAACAGACATGATGTTACATATTGTAGGTATAGTAAATGAATTACTATGTCTCTCGTCATTGACTTGTGATGCTTATGTTATGCTATTTTTGGCCAACCTGACTCTTATGCGGACTGCTATATCACTACTTCATTCGTATCCAGCGTGCAAGACATGTGGGGTGGTACACCACTAGCACTAGCTACCCTAATTGATTAGATGTCTTGAAACTATCAGAAAAACAACACAAAAAGAAATAAGGTTGAAGAAAATTCAGGAAGCATATTATGTAGAAAATCACAATGGTAAATTGACAAATATAATAAACATTCAATGAATTAAAATTTTATTATTAATTTGTACGTGCAAGTATTCATGGTCACTTTGTAATGAATTTATAGAAATATATTAAATAGATTTAAACAACGTAAAACGCTGCAACCCTATTCTTTCACGCTATGAATCATTAAATACGAAATCTGGGAAACTTCTAATTCCAAATCAAAATGAACACGCACGTTACTCTTTAGCTTCAAATTTCAAATTGCTTAATAGTTAATGAACAAGTCCATGCCTTTATTTATGTACATAGCTATATAATTAGGGGCGTAAATAAACTCTATTTGCTCAAACTAATTAGGAATAAGATCGGTTCAATGAAATGTTTAACTTTTTAGATCTAAAAACTGAAAAAAAGAAATAAAAAAAATGCAATCAACATGATTGCAATTGCAGATTTGCAGTTACAAGAACCATTAAAAACTTAAATATTGCGCTTGCGCCTGCAATGGCAGTATGATGCACATTGTAATTTAAAACACTGATTCAAAATAAGAAAATAAGAAGTCGGTAAATTAAATAAAGATTTAAGTAACTTGTAGGATTAAATATAGTTTAATCTTGTGTCTAAGTACTGTTATTGCATTAAATTAAAAATACATTCGAATTT